CTATAAATAATCTCGATGAAGATGCAAGGATATGACTTTCACAAGATTGGACAATTGATTCAATCTGTGACCCGCGATCGCGAATAATATTGGAAGGCTATTTAAACAGATGAAGGCCTAAATTGTCTTGCTTGTATCTGAATTAATTTCTCATTCATCATCATTATGAAGTGATTGGTCTATTCAAGCTCTTCAGCCTGCTGGAACGGAGCGGGATTTAAATGAGATTGTAACACAATTTAAATGCTTGCCGACTTTAACGAGGCCAATTGAGCAGCTGCAATAAATACAAATATTTTTCTAAACAGCCTTGTTTTAAATAATTACTTAATGCTTTCATGTTATTTTTAAGTGGCAATCTTTCTCTCCTGCTCCTGCTCAGAATATCACATACTTACTTGCTGAGAAGGAGATTTTCGAAAGGACTTTATGTTTCTGTTTGCTTTGTAGAAGGTAGCTTACGTTTTGTGGTTGGCTTTTTTTTTTCACCCAGGGTCAACATTTCGGGGTTCCACAAGCTGGCACACATGGTGAACTGCACCTGGGCTTTCCCCTAATACAGTCTGATGTGCCTGCCCTGGCAAAGTCAGGCAGAAGCTAAGTGATGGAAGAAATTTGCCCTTTGGACCAAGTTACTTATCCAGACCCGTTTAGCTGGGTGTTGCAAACGAATCCGGACGACTGGACTTACAAATGACACCCCAAAGAGTGGCATCGTTTCTGACTTGTTCTGATGACCATCATCATCTGGAACAAATCAGAATTCCAGCGTATCCCAAAGGTGTCCCCTAGGAAGTTCAATCTGCCAGCAGTTTGGCTCCCGTGCAAGTCGACTGAAATGGGTGGAGGAAGGCTGAGGGTTTCTTTGTTTAGGGAATAGGCAAAGAAAGAACCTGGCTACAAAGATTGGTTGGGGGTGGAGAAATTAGAAGAAATCCCCCCCTTTTTTGCCCCGCCTCCTTTTCCTCCTCCTACTCACTGACTCCTACTCCCTCTCTCACTCTGGGGTGATGGTGCATGCAGAAGATGCTAAGAAGGAAAAGCTCTTCCCACTTTGAGGACGCCATCCTCAATAACCCACCGCCGCGACACCCACGCCCTTCCATCGACATATGGCGGCGGGTGTTTCCTCAATCGGGGAATAATGGAGGCAACCGAGCGGGAGAAGCCTGGGGAACAAAAGAATCTTTTAAACTTTCGCCAAAAGGCTGGGTGGGGGTGGGGAGACACGCGACTTGCTGCGGGGGACCTAAGCTCCCATTGGCGTAGATCCGTCAGAGCCATGGCCCTTTGGGAAGCCTAGGGTGAGAGGGTGCATTCTGAATCACTTCTCCCTCTGCCTGAGAGGGCGCAGGAGGACTCGACGTCTGAGGTGTGAGGGTGCACGGTTAGCGGCTGAGAAGGCAGAGCCAATATTGTCACTAGACAAACCATTCGTGGGGCAGACCATAGTGGGGGATGCGATCATATTGCAGACCAGGGCGGGGGGGGGGGAACCGGGGACAAAGGTGGAGGAACCAAGTGATTTGCTATGTAACTGGGCAATTTAATGCCAGAGTTAGGGAGCTGCTGGCCGGAATCATTTTGTCTTCGGAGGCTCTGCGGAGCTCATCCTCTTTATCCTGTTGTTTAAAATGAGCATTATCCCAAACATATGCAATGCAATCAGTTTGGTCACACTTACAAGAACACGCTTTAATAAGGCAATCAATCACACGCTAACAAGCCGGCGACGGCCGGCGCTGAGCGTGCACTCCGGCTGCGGGGCGGCTGGTCTTGCCCGGCCCGGCGGACCGCGGCTGAGCGCGGGTTCGCTCTCCCAGGGCCCGCTGGGTCGCAATGGGGTTGAGGAGCCCAGGGAAAGTGTGAGTCGGGAGTGAGGTGTCAGACTTCGCAAGGGGTGACCGTTGGACTCAGGGCCCCAAAGGGGCCTAGGCGAAGGGAAGGGAAGCTGCAACTTGAAGCTCAGAGCTGCAGGGGACCCTAATAGTTGTGTGAAACCCAGAGCCTCTGTTTTCCCACCTGCAAAATGGGACCAAGATGGGGCAAAGTGAAGTAGAGGCTCTTAGAATGTTGAAAGAATAATAATACCATGTCAGCCCTGTTGCTTGGTTTAGCCTTCTTTTACAGATAAGGAGACTGAGGCTGTGGAGTGGCAGTGCCTTCTTCGCTGTCATCTCTCCCCCTCCCCCACATCCGCCAAAATGTAGGTATTAGGCCAGGTGCAGTTGCTGGGTGCAGGCGGGCAAAACCTGTTTTTAGGTGCAGGGGTGGAGAAGGGAAAGTGAGAAGTGGTTCCTAGCGCCAAACCGCAAACCTTGGCAAAAGGGAAATTTCATTATGAAGTAATGAGTAATTCCTCCTGGCAAGATGTATTGTTGTATCTTCCACTTCAATTTGGAGGAAGAGAGGCTCAATTACCCAGAAAATACAGTCAATTAAAGGCTGCTGATTGGACACGAGGCCGGATCATCGATCTTGTACTTTCCAATATCGCTGCAGACACCTCATTTTCCCTCCCTATTAACTGAAAATACGCCTGGCATTACGGCAACCCGCAGCCCATTTACCTGTCGCAAGCAATCTCAGCCTGCCGCGAAGTAACCGCAAAATTTGCCTGGGTTTGGCACTGGAAGCCTCCCAGCTGCAGAGGTAGCTACGAAAGGCTGGGGGGGGGGGGCGCGGGGAATGGAGGAGTGGAGGGGAAGATGCTGGAAACCTAAGCTCCAGGCTTTCCTTGGGAGGGCAGGGGCCACTGTGTGCAGGAGAGTTTCTCTGGAACCCCAAAAGGGATGGGAGCTAATTAAGGATTCCCCATCTGCCCACTGATACACAGTGACAGAGGACCCTTGAAGTCCACGCAGTTCTGAGCTCCCAGCCGGCCAATGACACCCATCTCTCCCCTGCCTGTGCAGAACTCAGAGGCAGCCACAGCGGCTCTCCTTTGGGGACAGAGGATGAGGGCGAGATGGCTGCTTGAGCACCATCTGTCCCCTTGCCCCAACCGGGCCAGAATTTCATTCTTGGAGATGACTTTCAGGTGGAGGATGATTCAGACATCACCACCCCCCATCCCAACCCAAGAATCCTCCTCCCTCCTCTCCCTAGACCCTACAGTGCAGACTGCTTGACCTGCAAACCTAGCTCTCTGTAGTTCTGGAGCTCCACCCCTACTGCCTCATTCACCTCCACCTGGGGCTGGCGTGGAAACAAGATCCACGGAGACCACGGAGATCCATGGTCCCCTTTCCTCAAAGTATTGGAGCAACTGGAGAAGAAACCATTGCAGGGGTAAGCCCCAGGTGGGCCAGTTTGTGGAGGAAGGCCTCTATTGTGCACAGAATTAAGAGAACACGCACCTCAGGGCAGCTCAGAGCCTGCCTTCTCCACTTCTGTGCAATTTGCATTTGGAGCCTGCTAATGCCCAACACAAGATTGGGAGACCATCTGTGGGTCCATCTTTTGGTTCCTTCTCTACCCAAGCTTAGGATGGTGACTGAACTAGCAATTCAAAAAGAGTCAACGCACTGCCTGCTTCCCAAAACATTAAAATGTTTAAGTGAGAATTATGTCCAGCTTTTATTGCAGTATGGTTAACAAACTGTAACAGCAAATTCTTTAGGCTTCAAAGGAAAACCAAACCAAATTTGTTCCCTACAGGAAGAACCACTCCCTCCCAGTCAGGGTGAAGCTTGTTATGGAGGGGTACACGTTCTCCTATCCCTCAAAAACTGGCTGCAAGAATGAGTGTGAGAGTGAGAGCTTGGGAGTGGCTCCCAAACAAACCCCGGTGAAGGGGAAAGACAAGGTCCTCAAAAGGGGCCAAAGGCTCCTGCTAGTATCTGAAAGCCAAGCCCCAGTGGTAGCTTGGGAGAAAAATGAGAGGAAGAAGGATGTAAAATGCTAACTGCAAAGGGAAAGCCAGAAGGCTCTTGGTGAAGAGAAGGTGAACAGGCAAAGGCTTGAAATAGCCTCTAATTTGCTGGCAGTTACTGAGGGAGGGAGACGAGGTCCCTGCTCCCTAAGCTCTTCCCTGGGCGCCTTGTTAACAGCTCAACTCTGGGCTCTGTGGCCCACGGCATGGTGATCATTATTATACATTCAACATTCAGAAACCCTCTTCACACACATCACTTGTTAATCAGGGTGTGTATTGGGCCCAGGGAGAAGAGACACTTGGTAGAAGCTGCCAAGAGACCCTGAGGCTTCTGCAGCCTCTCTGCCAATGTTAAACAAAAAGTGGGGGTGGGATGGAAATAGTAGAGACGGAGTTGCAAGTTGAGAGATATCAGGAAGCTAGGAGAGAGTAAAGAGATCAGGTGCTGGTAGATGCCAGAACCAGAAAATGTGTAACTGAGGCTCCAGGAAGGCAAGAGAGCCCCTAGGTTCCATGGGAGGGCCAGGGTCCTCTGCCACAGTAAATCACCTCTCTCACTCTCTCCCCTTAGATGGCTGGTGCATTGCCATCCACCAAGCCCCTTGCCATGCCTTGGAAAAGCTGGCAAAGATTAATCTCTATCTGCTCTGCATACACAGCATTTTGTTCAGAGAGACAGCAATTTCCTTTCCAGTGCTTGGGCTTGGCCTTGGGGATGGGAGTGGGGGGGGTCCCGATTGAGGCAGGGGTGTGAGGTGGGGGGTGGGAGGAGGGACTGAGGGGCTGGATATCGGTTGGTGTTGCTACTAAATTTGTTTGGCTTTGGAGCCAGGGCCTCGACCCGGGTCAGGGGCAATGGGTCCGGTGAAAAACGGCAGAGAGAGGCCGCCCCTGAGGAAGGTCTCTCAGCCTCCGCGTCCCCATCCCCACTCCTGATCCCCAAACGCGCCAGCCATGGCCTCTTCCCGGGCGTCCAGATCCGTGAGGCCGAGTCCCTCCGGTCCTTTTCGGCCCTCTTCTTTCCCCTCGGTGCCCTGGGGGCGGGGAGGGGCGCTGGCTGAGTCCCCGCGGGAGGGGCCCCCCCCCACGGGCGTCCTGGAGCCGGCAGCCCGCGGGCGGCCCCTTATCTGGTGAGGGGCACCTCCTCCCTCTGGTCCAGCGCGACGGAGGAGGCCTTGCTGAGCACCGAGGGCGCGAAGGAGAGGAAGGAGTCCGAGCGGGAGGTGGAGGCACAGGTGAAGTCCGAGGCGGCGGCGGCGCGGGGCGCCAGCCCGTTGGCCGGGCCGCTGTGGCAGGCGAGGCAGGAGCAGGGGCCGCCGGCCGCCGCGCCCAGTCCGTGAGCGGGGCCGGGGTAGAGCGGCGGGTGGCGGAAGGCGCACAGCAGTTCGGGCCGCGGGTAGGGCTGCGAGAGCACGCGGAAGGTGTCGAGCGGGCGCAGCGGGCCGCTGAAGGGCGAGGCGGCGGCGGACGCGGCGGACGCGGCGCCCAGGCCCACCGGCGAGTAGTAGGGCAGGGGCAGGTGCGACGGGAAGGGGTAGGGCAGGCCGCCCGCGGCCGCCGCGTGGCTCATCATGTACGTGTAGAAGGCGGGGTCGGCCGGGTGCGGCCACGTCATGGCCAGCCGCTGCCGTTTGTCCTTCATGCGCCGGTTCTGGAACCACACCTGGCGGGGGGGGGGGGGGGGGGGGGGAGGAGCAGGTTCGGCGGCTGCACCCGCCCGGGTGCGCAGAGGCCAGAAGTCCTGCCCCACTGCAGCGGACGATGCCGGTAGCGCAGGGAAGAGCCGCGGCAGAGACCCTCTGGGCGGGGGGCAGATCCCACCACCACCACCTGGAGCTGGAATCCCTTACGGAGAGGTTCAGGGAGGGGCTTCAGTCTGCGTCCCTCCTTCCGTCTGCCACGCGGCCAGGACCCCTGGGGCGCCAGACCCCTGGGTGGGCGCTCAAGCAGTGGGGTAGACTAAGGACTCTGCTGGTCCCAAGGCGGCAGGCAGCGGTTCCCCAGAAACACCTCCCCTTCCAGCCTCTCTCTCTCGGGGCAAAGGCACCCCATTCCCACTGTTTATTTGGCTAGAAAAGGGACAGAGTCAACCGCGCGCCAGCAGTTCCTGCCTAGGGACTGTTGGGAAGGTAAATCTGCATACACCTGGTGCCTGCACCAGGCCTGGACACCCCCAGCCTAGCAGCCACGTGGGCAGGGGGACCCCAGGCCCTGATTCTTGGTTCAGGATTTAGGGAGTGGACAGTCGGTATTTACTTCCTGCTCAGTGGGCGCACCCCTTCTTCTCCCTGTCGCCAGAGCTCATACCTTGATGGTGGTTTCCGGCAGGTTTAGGGCGGCGGCCAGCTCACATCTCCGCGGCCTGGACACATAGTTCTCCCTGTAGAACTCCTTCTCCAGCCGGGCAATCTGCTCCCGGGTGAAGGCGGTGCGGTAGCGGCGCATCTGGTCGCTGGCGCTGCAGGCCAGGGTGCCCTGTGAGCTGCCGTTACTGTTGCTCTTGGGGGCCTCGCTGCCACTGCCGGGACTGCTGGCCAGTGCCTCTGAGCTGGGCCCTGCATAGGGAGCCCAGAGCACATGCACACACAGAACACACAACAGAAACACAAAACACTGCTGATGCGTGGCTGTAGGCCCAGGGCATGTGTGGCGCAGAAAGGGGGCAGAAAGGGACCCCCTCCTCTCAGTAGCCTCAGTTTCTGCCTCCGCTGGGGCACAGGGGACTTTGAGAACACAGGAAGAGAGAGATGGAGGCTCACCATTCGGATGAGCACAAAGCAGCCCTTGGGCCTGGTGGGGCTGCTTTTTGGGAGACCTCGGTCTTAAGGCCTGCTGGGTACAGAAACCTCAGCCACCCCGGCCACCTGCCCTGAGGCACAGACTGGATGCAGCCCCTCTGAGCTTTCTGCCCACCATTGGCAGGAGTGGACAAGGATGTGCATGTCTGACAGGCAAGTGGAGCTGCACCTTTGTGCTGGAGTGTAGTGAGCTCTGGGTCTTAGCGCATTGTAGGATGCTGCACACAAACTGAGTCCTTGCTTTTGCGTGTGCCAGGCTGCCAGTGTAGGCGTGAGAATGTGTACTAGGTTGTATGCGTTGTAGGGATGGCATAGGAATGTGTGAATGAATAGCATATTACCTTGGTATATTTGAGGGGCGTACGGCTTGTTCTGAGGGCATGCTGTGATTAGAGAATCTGGGTTGAATGGACAAGATGGTAATGAGTAGATGTGGGTGCTCAACCAGGTGTTGGCTGCCAAGGTGAGGGGGTGGTTTTTCTTCCATACCAGGGTCTTCCCATCTACACCCACAGCTTTGTGGAGGAGTGTCTTGCCAGTAGGCTCTCCCTCCTACTAGCTTTCCACCCCTCTCTGGGAGACTGGCTGCCTGGCCACCTCCCTCCCACCCCCAAACTAGTCCCTGGTCAGGGAGGGGTTCTCCAGTTAAAGCAGTGTAACAGCACCCCTCCTTTTGGGTCTAACCCAAGGAAGGGTGGGACTCCTGCCCCCTGCAGCTCCTTTTCCTTTGGGTGGAGAAGTGGGACTAGCAAGGAAAGGGGGAATGGGGGAGGGCCAGAGCTCTGCCTTTTCAAATGCAACCGGAGACCAAAGGCAATTAGATCATGGGGACCATTTCCGACCTGGCGCCACCGAGCCCGGGAAGTGACAAGGTAATTTGGACCTCTGACCGACGTGCAAACTGGTCGGAGGGCCCAGCACCCAGGCAGCCCGAGTCGGCCGGGATTTTACGGTCCTTTATGGACTCCGGGCTTCCGCGCCTGGATGCGCCTTACACCCCGCCAGCCACAAACTACCCTGACCCGCGTTTGATCTCGCCCAGGCCGGGGAAGGTGTCTTCCCGGAGCAGTTGAAGCAGTGCCACAAAACTCTGGGGGGCTCGGGTGCACTTTGAATCCCCCTCAAGCCCAGGGCTTGCGTCCCCCTCCTCCCGCAAAGCACAGCTGTCACCCTGGGTCCCGCCAATGCCAGAGCACAGAAGGAGACCCCCGCCAGGGCTCAGCTATCAGGGGAGAGTTGCTCAGGTGGGTTCCCCCCAGCCACCCTGCCCTGGGGGAAAGGAGTGTCTTCCTCCCCTCCAGGGCTGAAGTGCAAGGTGGGCGCGGTGGGAGGCCCGGGGAGAGAAGGGGCCCGGTGGCTACCTTTGCTGTGCTGGTACTCGGCGTTCCCCGTGGCGCAGTCCGGGGTGCAGCTCACCTCGATTTCTTCATAGAAATCCGACTCGGTGTCCGAGCTGCTAGGTTGCCCCTGACCCGAGAGGCTGTCGGCGGAGGGGGCCGGAGGTCCGGGGCCGAGCACCGCAGCCCCGGCTGCCCGCGGCTCGGCGCCCGGCCCCGCAGCGCTGCCTGCTAGTCCGTCGACCGGCTCCTCCTCCAGGCCTCCCCCGCCGCGCTCCCGGGCGGCCAGAGGGCCGGCCCGCGGGCTCAGGCAACCACGGGGCACCATCTTCTCGGGCGGCTCAGGCAGCGGGCTGCCCACGGCTTCAGACAAATTGGAGACCCTCTTGCCAACCAGAGTACCAAGCTGACCCGCATCCAGAAACATAACCATGTCCTTTCGGCTCTCCATCCCGGGGCTCGCCGGAGGGGGGAGGGAGGAAGCCCCAAGTGACTCCTAGCCCCCCGTCTCCCCGGGTACCCAGCGGTCCGACAGATCTTGGCTGCGGGAGGGAGAAAGAGAGACCAGGCGACTGGGCGGGCGCCGAGCGGCCGGAGCGCGATGTCGACGGTGACGGCGGTGGTGGCGGTGGGGAGCTGGGGTCACCTTGTGATGCGAGCGCTCCTCTGTGCCGCACCGCCTCTGGGAGGAAGCCCCATTGCCCTCTTCTTTCTAAGCTGTCATCCTCCTGCTGCAATCGTCATTACAGTACCTCTGGTGACGCCACTGGGCGAGCGCAAGTGGATAAATAGAAACGTCTGCCACAGCGAAGATGAAAGGAGACCCGCAGCTAATGGCTCGGCAGTGATGCGCCAGGTGTGGGCCTCGCTCGAATGGGGAGGAGAGTGTGAAAACAGACAGAGAGACACACACACTGAGACAGGGAGACACCCAGGCAGAGGGCATGCAAATGGAATTCCGCAGAAAGAAAGAGAGAGCTTAACCGTGCGGGCGAGTTCCGCAGGAGCTGCGGGACTCGGTAATTGAATAAGCTTCTGATTTTTTTTTTATTGTTGTTTTGGCTTTTGTTTTCTTAACTTGGTGCCTTGATCTAACACTGATGAGAGAATCCATAACTGCATTTTAAAAGTGTGAAGGCCGACTCACAAGCCTCGCTTCCCTCGTCATTATTACAACTGCCTGTCCTGGCGGGCTAACCTCGTAGAGGCTCCAAAGTCTTTTTACAAGCTACCAAAAAACATATTCCCTCCTCCCACCCTCCAGTTGTCTGGAGAGCTTGAGCCTGGGGTATCTTCTCTCTTCCTCCTATCCTCTACACCCAGATGCCTCCTTCCTCCTGGAAACCAAGAGAACTTTGCTATTTTTCTTCCCCAAGGGGCAGGAGATAAATGCCTTAATATTTTTTCTTTAAGGACCTGTCTTGGCTGCTGACTTCAAATGTTTGCTGATTTTTTTTCCTTATTTCCATTCCCCATCTAGGTGGCCTTATGCTTTCCACAGCTCGGCTTGACCTCCAGGTAGCTATTCGTAGAAGAAATCGTTTTCCCATTTGCTTGGGCCTCGCCTGCACTTCAGGTATGTAGGGTGGGGAGAGGTTCTAAAAGTGGCCTTTTTTCTTTTCTTGCCCATATTTTAAGGTATTCGTTCAGAGTCAACGAATTCTTCTGGAAACAGGTTTTGCGAGTGAAGAGGCACTGAGAAATGCGGTCCCTACAGTGGCAGCACCTGAGGCTCCCAGCTGGGAGAAGGTGCTGTTCTCACCCAGAAATTGGGGCAGGGATTGAGAGTGCCCCAGCACATGGCATTGGGGTTCACAGAGCTTTGGCTCACAGGGTTTCCCCCCAGATCCTGCCCACGGGCTTCAGTGGCACTGGGGGTGAATAGAGAGAAGTCACCAAAAATGCCCTGAAATAGCAAATGACTAGGGGTGTTCATAAATCTCTGAGGACAGAGGGAGAGCCTCCAAGGCACGGCTGGGGAGTTTGTAGTGCTTGATGTCTTTGGGAGCAGCCACAAGCTCCTTCTCAGGTCTTCTTCCAGGGAAGGTATGATAGAACCCATTAGAAAGCTGACCCGTTTCCAGCTCTGAACAAGTGTGTTGGGGCCAAGCTGGGCAGCTAGGTCTCTCCCCACTTTGCTAAGGGCAGAAGGCAGGCCCCTTCTCTACGGTGCTATCCCTAAAACTCTCCTTTCCCTGCCCTCGGCCAGAGCTGCCCCTGCACCCCACCCCTTCTTCTCCAGGTCCCAAGACAAAGCCCCAATTTCTGAAATTCTAAAGAGAAGTGTATCACTATCTTTTTTTTTTTAATCTTTTTCTGTCTCTTACTTTGTTCTCCTTTCTCTTTCTGTACTCTTCTCCCTCTTTCCCCTGCCTCAGTTTTCCCATCTGTGGGCTTGTGGAGGTGGTGGAAGAAGCAAGGAGTTCAAGCAAGACAGAAATTCTTCTCACTCCTGCTTTCTACTTCCCCTAGTCAATGAGAAGGCGTTCATTAACCTGGCCTGGGGTGGGGGTGGGGGGACAGGAGGTTCCGGAAGGTAACGTGGGCATAAACATCCCCACTCCCTGGGACTCCCAAAGCCACCATCTGCTGAGCACAGCTAGCTCAAAACTCCTAGGGACGATTACAAAGGTGACAGGAGCGACTGGGAGTGCAGGGGATCAAATCCTAGAGCCTTTTGCTGCGTTGCAGAGTTGTCCTACGATTCTGTCACGCCTTGCCCTTCCCAGCCAGACGCGGGAGGCTGAGGGAGCACCTGGCTTGCTCTTCCCTTCCTGTCAAAGTCGAGGCCGCAGCGCCTGCGTTCGAGCCGCCTCAGTTGGGCCCTTCCGGCACCGAGCCTGGGTTTCGCCCCCCCCCCCCCCCCCCCCCCCCCCCCCCCGCCATGAGCCTGCTGCCTTCTCACAGCCGCCCCCGCTGCGCTCACCTCTTTGGGGCGAGGTTCGCGGAGGGACTCCCGGCTCCCCGCCCCGCCCCCAGCTCTGCATTCAATGGGAGTGCTCCGCGTTTGATCCTCTTTTCCTCCGGGTTTTCCCTGCCAGATGAAAGCCAAGTAGGATTGAGAGATCAAGAGGTACCACTTGTGTCTCCTTCCTGGGTCCGGCCCACCCAAGCGGGGCTTCCCCTAACGTCTCAGCGAGGAAGGAGGCTCTAGCGGGGGCTTAGCCTCTCCGGGAGGGGGGCTGCCTCCTCTGGGCTTCGGATCTGAAGCTTCAGGGACGCCCCCTCCGCCCCATCCCTCTCCCGGCTTCTGCCTCCGCCCTTTCAAAGCAGCCTCAGTCCCCCCCGGCCGTCCCCCCCCCCCGTCTCTGGGGGCCTATTGCACCCTCTGACCCTGCGGGGGAAAAAACCAAAAATTTTTAGCCAAATGTCACTTCTTCCAAAAGCATCCTTTCGTCAACATCAGATGAAGAGAGGTCGGATTTTTTACAAGAAGAAGAAAACGGGCTGGGGGGGGGGGACAGAATAAGAACACTATTTCTGTTTAGCCTTTTTTTTTTTATGGGGGGAAGGGCTATTTTAATAGCTCGGTTGTCAGTGTATCATGAAGGTTATTCCCGAAGACACTGTTCCAGAAGGAAGGTAAATTCGCAGAGGGAGTGAAGTCCGCGGCCCCCAGAGGCCAGGGAAACCCCCATGAAAGCTGAGAGGGGGTGATAGCAGCCTAAGTGGGGTCCGGCCTGGGCTCGCACTGCTTCTCACCTCCCTCGGCAGGGAAGACCCCCTTCCCCCACCACCACGGGCCTGCTGTCCCCTCCCCCGCTGGGAAGACTGGTTTAGGTCCAGCCGGCTCCTCTCCGATTGAAATTCTCTGGACTTCAAAAGCTTGAGGCTCCGCTTCCGCCCGGGCTGGGCCGGGCCGGGGGTGGCTGGGAACCCCCGGGGAGGAGACGCGGAGATAAGATGCGCGGCTTGTGTTAAATGGAATCGGAAGCCGGACTTGGGTCACCAGACGCGTTGATCCGCTGGAGCCGCTACGCTTCCCAAGAAAACCCTGCTCCGGAGAGCTACGGCAGGGGGTGGGGAATGCCTCAATGGCCTTCGGACCCCGCTTGGGTGCGATGGTCTGCGGCCCTGGGTATCTATATCAGACAGATGCGGGGCCTCCAAGCGGCGAGCACTCGTCCCGGCCGAAAGGAAGGGGCAGAGGTTTCCAGAAGCTGGTTTGGCTGCTTCGGTGCCAGCAAAATTTTGATCAGGAAAAAAATTGTTTTTGCCTCTCACTTTGGTAAAACGCAAGAACAAAGGGAGCTTCCTTTAAAACAATAAGGGTTGCCCAACTGCCGTGGATATTGATCTAGGGCCCTTGTTTATCTTCCAAGCCGTGTCTCGGACGTGGACATCGAAGTTCCCGCGCGGCTGGGTCTCCGAGGTGGGGATCACGGGGGTAAGGGCACTTGTGGGGTTGGTCCCTGTCTTGTCCCTGGCAGCTGCCAACGCCCATCTGGGAATCCGAAGCACAGATGCACCGTGGAGTGTGACCCTCCAGGACCAAGATCCACTCGATCTCAGATGCCCAGGGGTTCGACTTCCCAGTGCCACGTCTCATTCACTTTCCCCCAACCCCTCGCTCACTCCGTAGAGGGAGTCCCTGGCACGCTCGCCTGCAGGGAGAACCTGAAGCTTGCGGAACTCTGATTTGGACAAGCGCCCCTTCTCTCTGTGCCTCCCAGAGCCAAGGGTCAGGAGCCTAGGACAGGAAACTGGATGCTTTCTGACCCCTGCTCCTTAGGTTCTTGGAGCCAGCCAGTCCCTGCAGTGTCTCTTGCATCTACACCTGTCAACCCCAAGTTCCTATAGGCCCAAGCCCAGTGGCTTTCCCACCCTGAGCTTCAGACAACTGCCTGAGCAGCCCCTGTTCCTACACCCACCACTTGCCCATCCCAGAGCTAGAGGACCCAGGGCAGTCAGTACTGGAGGCCTGAGGACCTCCTCAAGCTCAGGGCTGGCTCCTGTCTCAAGCCACCAACTGGAAGGGTCCATTTTCCCATGGAGGGGCAATTCCCCAACATCTAAGCAACCAAAGCCCAGGCATACCTCTCCTCCCCCTAGCAGAGATGGTATGGGTTTTTCCTTCACCATTACTATCCTGAAATTTGCTTTCATTACAAGCCCGTTTCTCATTTAATCTACACAACGCTCCTTTAGAAGTCCTCAACAGGCCACAGTGCCTTTTCTCTCACACTGATAGGGTAACCAGTGGTCTTGTCAGACACTAGACCAGTGCCCCTTCCAAGGCTCTGGCCCTCCCTGGCCTGCAGGGATGCCTCAACACCCAACAGTGCCTTAACTCTCCATAAGGCAATCCTCCACAAACCTCCTGCCCCTTTTGGGATCTAGGTGGGTCCTGGGGCCTCTCAGAGAGGTTGCCCACCTGCCTTCAGAAGCAAAAGGCTCAGGGCCCACGTTCCTGGACTGTTCTCACCCTGCTTCATCCATGATTTCCCAGGA